TTTTGCGACATTATTCACCGGAATTGTTTCAAATTTGGCATTTGAAGTTCGTAATGGATACTAGAGCCTAAGACAGAAAATAATCTATGTAGGTCCACGTCTTGGTATAGCCCCTATATAATGGTACCCCCCCTATATTCGGTATTTTGATGATTTTAGCGACATTATTTACCGGAATCGTTTCAAAGTTGACATTTGAAGTTCGTAATAGATGCTGCAGCATTAAACAGAAAATGGGCCATGTAGGTCCACATCTTCGTATAAAACAGAAAATGGGCCATGTAGGTCCACGTCTTCGTATAGCCCCCATATAACTGTACCTCCCTATATTTGGTATTTTGATGATTTTAGCGACATTATTTACCGGAATCGTTTCAAAGTTGACATTTGAAGTTCGTAATAGATGCTGCAGCATTAAACAGAAAATGGGCCATGTAGGTCCACATCTTCGTATAGCCCTCATATACCGTACCCCCCGATATTCAGTATTTTGATGATTTTAGCGACATTATTCGCCGGAATTGTTTCAAATTTGGCATTTGAAGTTCGTAATGAATACTACAGCCTAAGACAGAAAATTATCTGTGCAGGTCCACGTCTTCGTATAGCCCCCATATACCATACCCCCCCGATATTCGGTATTTTGATGATTTTAGCGACATTATTTACCAGAACCGTTTCAAAGTGGGCATTTGAAGTTCATAATAGATGCTGCAGCATTAAACAGAAAATGGGCCATGTAGGTCCACATCTTCGTATAGCCCCCATATACCGTACCCCCCGATATTCAGTATTTTGATGATTTTAGCGACATTATTTACCGGAATTGTTTCAAATTTGGCATTTGGTAATGAATACTACAGCCTAAGACAGAAAATTATCTGTGCAGGTCCACGTCTTCGTATAGCCCCCATATAACGGTACCCCCCGATATTCGGTATTTTGATGATTTTAGCGACATTATTCACCGGAATTGTTTCAAATTTGGCATTTGAAGTTCGTAATGGATATGTCAAAAAATGAGCCATGTAGGTCCAAGTCTTCGTATATCCCCCATATAACCGGAATTGTTTAAAATTTGGTATTTGAAGTTCGCAATAGATACTGCAGCATAAAACATGTAGGTCCACGTCTTCGTATAGCCCCCATATACCGTACCCCCCCATATTCGGTATTTTTATAATTTTAGCGACATTATTTACTGGGATTGTTTCAATGTTCGCATGTGAAGTTCGTAATGGATACTTCAGCCCATGCCAGAAAATTGTCTGTGCAGGTCCACGTCGTCGTATAGCCCTCATATAACGGTACCCCCTATATTCGGTATTTTGATGATTTTAGCTACATTATAAACAGATTTTTCTTCAAGTTTCGCATTAAAATATTGCAATAACTTATGACAAAAGTTGCCTATGCAGGTCCACGTCGTCGTATAGGCATTCGGTATATTTAAGATTTTAACAGAATTGTTAACGGTTTTTTTTTGGAAATTGCTAAATTTGTACCAAATGGTGGAGGGTATTAAAAGTTGGGCCCGGCCGAACTTACAGGTTTTTCACTTGTTTTTTAATAATGCCGTACAGCCTCGCACAAATATTACATTTGGTTTTTGGCACTCTTTATCGTGCTTATTGGTAGTCAAAACAATTTTCACACAAAAGTTGTGGTCCATTTCAACCGCTTAATATAATTCAATGGTCATTCAAAATGCTAGACTTCTGCCCAGTCCTAAACTCTAACTCCGTGTCGATTGGTTTTTAATTGTGAACTGTAGAGCGACGACAAATCGGAAAATTTTTATTTTTTGGTTTTAATTCTGAGCCTAACCCTACCTCATGTAAAATTTTGTGGAGATCGGACGATAAGTGCGACCTGAATATAATACCCCCAACAGATAGTGTTGTAAGGTGAAACAAATATTACAAAATGTACAATTCGATAGTGTAATCATATTGAAACATGTAAAAAACAGTAAGTTTTTTAATACCCTGCAGCAAAAGAAAAACATTTTTACATAAAATTATCTAAATTCAAGCGTGTTCAACATTACACTACAAATATCAGTAAGACCGTTTGGATAATGGAGTTAAACTTTTCAAAAAACCATAAAGTGAGTGAGGCCAATATATGGGGGGCCATACCAAAACAAGAACCTATATAGACAACTTTATACTACAAGGATTGTTTTAAGAGAAATTCGTGGAAAATATTGAAAAAATCATCAAAATTATGAATGTCGGGAGGTACCGTTATATGGGGGTTATACGAAAACGTGGACCTATACATACAATGTTCCGCCGTCGGAGATAGAACCAATTATGACTTACAAATACCAATTTTTAGACAAAGTCGCGAAAAAAAATGTGGCAAAGATCATAAAAATACCAAAATGTTGACCAATATATCAAATTTTCAATACAAACCATTCTAGACACAATACAAATTGTTGTGCCAAATTTTACGTCAAATAATGTATCATTATTTCAACAGTCAGACAAACGGACGTCGTTAAATCGACTTAGAACTTTATGCTGTCCATACTTTATGGGGTCTAAGATGACTATTTAGGGATGTTAGAAACGGAATGACAAATTTAATATACCCTCCTTTTCAAGGTGGAGGGTATAAAAATCTTATTTTAATGCGATGAAATATATAACAACAAGTTACAAAGTATCAGTGTGTTTGGCCGACAGATGTATATCCTCAGCCAATGTTCGATTATTTAAATATATTTTGACTTCTAGTATAATCATTCAAATTGTTGATCCTCCATGGAGTAGGTTCCGAAGGAATGGCCAATATTGACCATTTCGTATCGGACGTGCCAGGTTTGGACTATATTGGTTACTTCCTTCACTTTGCATGACATATGTGTTAATTTTTAGAAAATTTTAAAATGTTAAAGAAAAAAGAAAATCGAATATTTATATCCAATTTTATGCGAAATCATAAATTCCATATTCATCTCAGGTTTCTGGTTGAGAGAAATATTTAAATATAGCAAGTTGTAAAGAGTCGCTGACTTGTTTCGCAAGTTATGACAGATAAAAGTAAAAATGTTTATGTGTGTGAAATTTGAAGAGAGTTGGATGCTTATTTCGCTTTCCTTAAGCGTTTTGTTTTTCAAAATCTTGAACCCTATGTGGGGGATGTACCAGAAGAAATTGTCCGCTCTCTACCATCTTTATAACAGATCTTGCGTTGATGGAAATATTGAGATGTACCAAGTCCGAATGGAATCGGATGTTAATATCGTGTTTTATGAGCGCCACTGATATTCAAAATTTTGTTCCTTTTTGGGGGGGATGTACCAGAAGGAATATCCCGATATCTACCATCAGATATTGTGTTGATAGAAATACTGAAATGTGCCAAGTCCGGATGGAATCGAATGTTAATTTCGCGTTCATTTCGCTTCATGGTTATTGAAAAATTTGACCATTTGTTGGGGGAGGTAACAGAGGGAATCTGCCGAAATATCCCATCTTCGCAGCAGATCTCGTGTTAGCAGAAATAATGGGATGTGTGAAATATGAAGAGAACCGGATGCTTAATTCGGGTTTTATGATCGTTTTGGTTATTCAAAATGTTGTTGTTTGTGAGGGAGAAGTAGAGGGAGAAGGAGAGGACCGAAACATTCCATCTTCCCACCAGACTTTAGGTTAGATAATCGAACTCTTACATCACAATTTAAAAGAGTTAAAATTATTAAAAAATTTTACCGTTTGTGGGGGTGGTACTTGATGGAGTGGATCGATATTGTCAATTTTCACACCTAACCTAGCACTGATGCATAAATTAGGATTTGCAAAGTTGGAGCAAAATCGCATTATTTTTTTTCACTTTCTGTGCAGTAAAATATTTGTTTTCAAAATGTAGACCTTTTGTGGGGGAAGTACCAAAAGAAGTGGACCGATATTGCCCAATACGTTCTAAGTTTGATAATAATAAGTTTGATAATAATATTACGATGTACCAAGTTTGGACCAAATCGGATAACCCTTTCGAGAGTTATCATGCGCACCTACCAGACAGACGGACGGACATCGACTCCAAATGTCCTGAAACGGAATTGGCCCAAAGGGACCAAGGGTCTAAAACTGTTATTTCGATGGGGCACGTTTTGGCAGTGTCAAATGATATATACCCTCTTTAGTCATATGGCTGATGGTATAAAAAGGCGGGCCTGGTTTAGGAAAGGCACGAAATTCGTTATGATCGGCAGCCGTGGTTCGGGGAAATTGCTGAAGGACCATCAGAAGACCATTAAGAACTTGGTCAACAATGAAATATTGGAACAACTCGTAATGCGTTTTCTTCATCTTATTTTACCTCCCCACAGTGTGATATTCTCGCTGCAGCCCTCAGATCGAGGCTATAAACAAACTAAAACAGGTGTGAAGTCTCGGAATAAAAAGGCAAATATAATTTGTATAAACGCACCCACTCTCAATCTTATATCGTTTGAGTAGTACGTTCAACCTCATATCTTCAGTCTGCTTTCCTTTTAGAACTTTGAAAAAACAACAATGAAATTGAACTTAGTCAGCCCGCACGATGTTAATTTCTCCGAGTTTGACAAAGTAATTAGCAATATCGATAATTCACGACACTTTCCGTTCTCAAGTCCTACCCTAACACTAAATGTAGATAAATCGACTAGGGGTGAGTTTTATGGTTTATGGTTATGTTTTTATGGTTTGGCAAACAAATTTAATAACCAAATGGCAATACTTCCTTGTACATGGCCCCTAGTCATAAAAAACATATATTACACAGATAATGGAAAAGATATTGAAATTAGATATCAATAAGATTTGGCACATGCCGTCAGATTGTAATTTTGGATCTCATTGTTTGTGATATTGCCTCCCCTCCTATAAAATTATGATACCAATTATCGAGATAAGAAAATTCTCTTTTTTTGCAATAACAAATCTGTTTTAAGATTTTGTATATAAAGCGTGTTGTGATTTATAGCCAAATCATAGTCTTACCTTTCAGGCATTGGACAGCAACATGAAGATATTCGCAGTATTAGCAATCGCAGCAGCAGTCCTTGGACTGACAACGGCTTTCAAGCCACCAGCGGCACGTTATGATGATTTCAAAGTCTATAAGGTCCATGTCAAGGATGATCAGCAATTGGCGGAATTTAAGAAATTGGCCAACAATATTCCTGTGAGTACAGCTATTGGAAATAATTCCTTATTCTTCGAAAGAACTAATATTTTAATTATTCACCATGTTACAGGTTCGCTTTTTGAATGATATCAGCGGTCCAGGACGCAGCTATGATTTGGCCATTGATCCTGCCAATGAAAAAGCCTTGGAAGACCAAATGCAATATTTGGAATTTAATTATGAACGCACTATCGATGATTTACAAGAGTAAGTGACAGATATTGTCTATTTTATTTGAAAGTACAGTAGAAACCTTATAAATCGTACCATGTCAATTGGAAAAGAAAAAAACCTTGTCAAAAATCCAGAAATTTTAGTTTTAACTTCATTATAATTGGAGAGAACCATGGTATGCATTTATAATTTATGGAACCATTGCGCTTCCAGTTGGGCTAGTTTCTACATTTTTCCTTTTCCCATCCCTGGACTACTCCTCAACAATACAATAAATAAATATATATATTTAAACCAACAAGATTATACAGTGTTCCAATTCCTATATCTGGAACTCAAAAATATTTGAATAAGATTAAAAATCATGGAAATGTCCTAATTTCTCTTACTTCTCTCTTCCGTAGAGTCCTTGAACAAAGTATGCCCGCCAACGTGGAATCGGTGAATGCCACCATGACCTGGACCAAATATCATCAATTGGCTGACATTTATGATTGGTTAGATAATTTGGCCATTGAAAATATGTTTACGGTAACTCCCTTCATCATTGGCAAGTCCTATGAAGGACGTCCCATTAAGGCTGTTCGAATTTCAACAAAACCAGGAAACAAAGCCATCTTCATTGAATCCAATATCCATGCCATTGAATGGATTTCTTCGGCCACCACCACCTGTTTTATCAACAACCTGCTCAAGGCCGAAACCAAGGAAATGAGAATGCTATTGAGAAGCTACGATTGGATTTATGTACCCGTTCTAAATCCCGATGGTTTGGAATACACCCACAATGTAGAGCGTTTGTGGCGCAAGAATCGCAAGCCCACCGGTTTCTCCAACTCTTCTGGTATTTGCTACGGCACTGATATGAATCGTAACTTTGATTTCAAATGGGGAGGTAGGTTACCGATATTTTGACAATAACAAAAACTAATGGCTCTTATTTTGATCATTTTTGTTGGATTTTAGGTGCCGGTTACAACATTGATGTGCCCTGTGATCATTGGTATGGCGGCGCCGTCCCTGACAGCGAACCTGAAGTTTTGGCTTTGGAAAATTTTGTCAGTGCCTTCCCCAGAAATTACATTCGCATGTATTTGGCTTTCCATTCGTATGGTAATTTCGTCTTGCTACCCTATGGCCACACCAATGAGGAATTCCCTACCAACTACAATCAAATGATGCGTATTGCCAATGCCTTTGCTGCCGGTGCTAAAGTTAAATACGGAACTGAATTCAAGAGTGGTGCCAGTGGTCTTTTGAATTGTAAGTAATTCCACACTCTGGCAAAATGTTCATCGAATCTTAAATTTAAATATATTCTTATTTTTTAGATCCCGTTTCCGGTTCCGCCAAGGATTGGGCCTATGGTGTTAAGAAAATTCCCTTCACTGCCACCATTGAATTGCGTGATGATGGCTCGAAATATGGTTTCTTCTTGCCTGCCTCTCAAATCGTGGAAGTTTGTGCCGAAGTAACGGATGGTATTATTGAAATGGTTAAACAAGCCCGCAAGGAGGGTCTCTTCAAATAAATTCCAAATTAGTTTCTTGGTTGTATAAAATACCCAAATTCCAATGAGGTTAATAAAATGCATTTACATTGAATTAAAACTATATAAGGCTTTTTTCTTTCAATATAACATTTTTAATAACATAGAACTCTTATATCCTGATTTTGTCATAATTCTGAATAGAGCCTTGTCACGTCTACCATAGACTAATGAAAATATAGTCGAAAAAATGCTCTCACCGCTTATAATTTTCAGGGGTATGAGTAAAAATATTAATGTTACTCAAACCTAAAATGTTAAAAATATTAACCACTATAAGAGAATTACAAACTGTAAATGGTGCATTCGAATAAAAAAAAACTGTCCCATACATGACGACATCGAAAAATAATGAAGCAAATCTTTAGCTCTTTTGAATCTATTTTCTTTCTGTTACGGTGTAAGCTCTTGCACCTTTTGGAATTTCAATGGCTTTACCCCGAGCACATTTTTCAATATTTGCAGAATGGAATATTTCTATATTTTCAGCTCACGAGCCATTTTTCGGCCACTGTGACGTGGGTTTCGATCAAGTCGGTTCTTTACTTTTCGAACCATTTCTGCTGATGTTGCGGTTTACTTCCGTCCACTTCCTTGGCGTCGACCTACGCTACCAGTATCACAGTAACGAGCGTTGGTACGAGACACAAAGGATTTATTTACATTTAAATGCTGGAGTGCTCTAACGATAGCCACTTTTGGTTCACCAGCCAAATATAAAGGAATCACACTATCACGCTTGAATTCTATCACGAATAACTTTTTTCCGGAAAATCCTCACCAAAATGCTTTTGTACGCTTATAAGCAATATAATAAGCTGTCACTGAAATAATTTTAATAGCTGTTGGACGGGTGGCTTTTAAATGCCAGCAGTCTGAAGTTGATTGCAGTTTTTTCATCTCACCCTGTATAAGGAAAATATCCCCGGTAAAAACAAAGGTAACATTTGTGCAGGACAGTATGGAATTATTTCAAATAATCGACTAAAATGTGTTTGAACCTAAGGAGGGTTTCCAATGTATTATAGTTGTGTAGGGTATCATATGGTCGGCCCCGCACTTCTATAGCATTTGCTAACTTGTTTTTTTTTTACTTTTTCCAATGTACGCTTGCATTGAAACTTACAGCTTTTTATACCCTCCACCATACTATGGAGGGTATATTAACTTTGTCATTCCGTTTGTAACTCCTTGAAATACTCATGTCAGACCCAACAAAGTATATATATTCTTGATCAGCGTAAAAGTCTAAGTCGATTTAGCGATGTCCGTCTGTCTGTCTGTCTGTCCGTCTGTCTGTTGTAATCACGCAATCTTTCGAATGATTTGAGATAGATGGCTAAAATTTTGCACAAATGTTTATTTTTCCAGTAGGCAGGTTAAGTTCGTAAATGGGCCATGTTTTCATATAGCCCCCCTATAACGGTACCTCCCTATATCCCGTATTTTGATGATTTTAGCGACATTATTCACGGGAGTTGTTTCAAATTTGGTATTTGAAGTTCAAAATGGATACTACACCCTAAGACGGAAAATTATCTGTGCAGGTCCAGGTCTTCGTGCAGCCCCATATAACGGTACCTCCCGATATTCGGTATTTTGATGATTTTAGCGACATTATTCACGGGAATTGTTTCAAATTTAGTATTTGAAGTTCAAAATGGATACTACACCCTAAGACAGAAAATTGTCTGTGCAGGTCCACGTCTTCATATAGCCCCCATATAACGGTGCGTCCCTATATTCGGTATTTTGATGATTTTAGCGACATTATTCACCGGAATTGTTTTAAAATTAGTATTTGAAGTTCGTCATGGGAACTACAGTCTGTGACAGAAAATTGTCTGTGCTGGTCCAGGTCTTCGTATAGGCCCCATATATCAGTACCTCCCTATATTCGGTATTTTGACGGTTTTAGGTACAATACCCACCGAAATTGTTTGAGATGTGGTATTTGAAGTTCGTAATAGATGCTACAGCCTGTGACAGAAAATTGTCTATGCTGGTCTATGCCAGGTCTTCGCACAGCTCAAATTTAACGGCACCTCCTTATATACGATATTTTGATGATTTTAGCTACATTATTCACCGTTTATTTCAAGTTTCGAATTTGAATATGGTAATGGCTTATGACAAACAATGCCTATGTATGTCCACGTCGTATAGACCCCAAAATAACGGCTATATTCGGTATTTTTAAAATTTTAACAGAATTTTTTAAGGATTTTATTTTTTGAAAATTTCCAAATTCGTTGCAAATGGTGGAGGGTATTAAAAGTTCGGCCCGGCCGAACTTACTGCTTTTTAACTTGTTTCGTTTTAAAAAAGTGATATCTGGCTTGGCAATCGAAACTAGGTGTTCAGAGGGCAAAGCGGGTATGGCTACCACTGCACCTAAATGTCATATAATTTTCAGTTAGAATAAAGTCTTTTTTTTTTGTTCTATTCGTAAGTAACTGCAAATTATCGCTGTTTTATCCGATGGATGACACAAAAAAGTGTCTGCACACACTACACCTTCTCTTATCGTCCTTCGTGCCACTAAGTTGTAACTACTTGACGATAGAAAGTTAACAACAATAGTTTTGTTATTGTAAATGTACATACTATCGCAATTATTAGGATTAGAAGCGTAGTAGTGGCACCTATATTCAAATCGGATCTCGTGTTGAGAGAATTATTTAGACACACCATGTTTGAAAGAACAGCTGGCTTGTTTCACAAGTTATGAGAGAAATAAGTATTGAAAATGTTGACCCCTTTGAGGGGGATGAACGACATACTCCATCTTCACACCAAATCTTATGTTAGTAAAAATATTGGTATTTGTGTCTTATGCTTATTTCGCATTTTATAAGAGATATAATTTTCAAAATGTTCATAACTTTGTGGGTGAGGTATTTGAAGAAGTGGATCAATATCTACTATCCTTAAACCAGATATTGTTTTGGTAACAATATTGCTAAGTTCCAAACTTGAAGACAATCGGACTCTTATTTTACATTTCATGAATGCTATAATTAATCAAAATTTTGACGCTTTGGGGGGGAGTGATCCGATGTTGTCCATTCTCGCACGGGACGTAGTACTGATACGAATAAAAAGTTTTAACAGAATTGGAAGATCTTGCCTTGTTCTATTAGGTAAATTACTTAATATAAAAAATTTGACCTTTTCTGTGGGAGGTACCAGAAGGGAAGAATAATAATTGAATAATTATTGCCCATCTCCGAACCCGGTCTAAGTTTGATAATAATATTATGATGCCAAGTTTGGATCAAATCGGACGGACGGATCGACTCAAAATGTCCTGAAACTGATTTTGTCCAAAGAGATCTAGGGTATAAAACAGTTATTTTTATTATTTTTATTTTTTTCTTATTTTAAAATTGTGAAAACATTTGGTGAAGTAGGACTATAGGGAATTCCCCCTTAAAAATTCATAATGAGAAAATCAATAAGACCATTGTTGTAGAAAATTTTAAGACCCGCCAATTTTTTGATAAAACCTAAAGCCGGCGCCGTATAACTTTTTTAGCTTATATGGACTTCTGAGTAGATAATACCAAAGTCACATAAAGACGAATTCAGACCTTACGGTGAAAACTCATAAGCTAAGTCACCGACTGGCTTTTTCGTAAAAGTACAGGTGCTCAAGAAAATCAAACTCAAATTATTCACCGATATTTATAAAAAGGTTCAATGTTTTCTCACCTTAAAAAATATATATCTCTAAAACAACTTACAAAATATATTTAATTCGTAAGTCCTTCACTAACAGTTCGTTCGAATAAGATACTAACATCGGGGAAATTTTGCGAATTTGATCAGTCAAATAAAAAAATAACCAAAAAACAATATCCCCATTAATATGGCCTCAAGCTATAAAATAATATCGCCCAAATAATATAAAAGATATTGAAATTAGATATCAAATAGAATGCCATTGTTTGCCAAATTGGCCCCCTTGTAGAATTATGATATCAATTATGAAGATAAGAAGGTTTGCCCGTTTGCCTTTGCAACAATGAATCTCTTTTGGGTGATGCATTCTGAAATTGGCTATATAAAGGGAAATGTAATATATCGGCATATCAGTCTTACATTTCGAGCATTGAACAGCACCATGAAGATATTTGTACTATTGGCAATTACAGCAGTAGTCTTTGGGCTGGCGTCGGCTTTCAAACCACCAGCGGTACGTTATGATGATTTCAAAGTCTATAAAGTCCATGTAAAGGATGAGCAGCAATTGGCAGAATTTAAAAAATTGGCCAACAATCTTCCGGTAAGTAGACCAATTGGAGTGAGTTCTTTATTCTCTAGGAGAACTAATTTCTTTACATTATAATTTGTACCAAAGGTTCGCTTTTTGAATGATATCAGCGGCCCTGGACGCAGCTATGATTTGACTATTGATCCTGCCAATCAAATGGCTTTGGAAGACCAAATGCAATATTTTGAATTTAATTATGAACGCACCATCGATGATTTGCAAGAGTAAGTGGCACAAAATGATGTATTTTATTTTGAAACACAGTAGATCCTTTATAATCCGTCCCACGACAATTGCAAGAAAATTAAAACAATTTATGTTCAACTTTATTACAATCGGAGGTATTGTTGGCAGGTTATTTTAATAATTTCCCATCCCTGTACTTCTCCTCAGAAATATATTCATTAAATATAATCAAAATGACTAGATCCTGCATTGTTCCAACTCCAATACACGGACCTCAAAAACATATTCACTAACTTCAAAATAATCGAAAAAATCATTATTTTCCTCTAATTTACAGAGTCCTAGAACAAAGTATGCCCGCAAATGTGGAATCTTCCAATGCCACAATGACCTGGACAAAATACCATCAATTGGCTGATATTTATGATTGGTTAGATAACTTGGCCATTGCAAATATGTTTATGGTGACTCCCTTCATTATTGGCAAGTCATATGAAGGACGTCCCATTAAAGCTGTCAGAATTTCAACATGTCCTGGAAACAAAGCCATTTTCATTGAATCCAACATTCATGCCATTGAATGGATTTCTTCGGCCACCACCACCTGTTTCATCAACAACTTACTCAAGGCCGAAACTAAAGAAATGAAAAGGCTATTGAAAAGTTATGATTGGATTTATGTACCCGTTCTAAATCCCGATGGTTTGGAATACACCCACAATGTAGAACGTTTGTGGCGCAAGAATCGTAAGCCCACACGTTTCTCTAATTCCTCTGGAATTTGCTATGGCACTGACTTGAATCGTAACTTTGATTACATGTGGGGAGGTAGGAAGCAATTTTGTTAATAGAACATATTTTTTTTTGATATAACGTACCTTTCGTTTCGATATTATTTTGGATATTTAGGTGCCGGTTATAACATCGATGTCCCCTGTGACCATTGGTATGGTGGTGCTGCCCCTGACAGTGAACCTGAAGTTGTGGCTTTGGAAAGATTTGTCAATTCTTTTCCCAAAAATTACATTCGCATGTATTTGGCTTTTCATTCGTATGGTAATTTAGTCTTGCTGCCCTATGGTCACACCACTGAGGAATTTCCTCCCAACTACAATCAAATGATGCGTATTGCCAATGCCTTTGCTGCTGGTGCCAAAGTAAAATACGGAACTCAGTTTAAGAGTGGAGCCAGTGGTCTTTTGAATTGTAAATAGACTAGACGATTTAAACTCTTGAAACCCTAATCTATACAATACGTTGTTCTCATTAGATCCCGTCTCCGGTTCCGCCAAGGATTGGGCCTATGGTGTTAAGAAAGTTCCCTTTACTGCCACCATTGAATTGCGTGATGATGGCTCGAAATATGGCTTCTTCTTGCCTGTCTCCCAAATCGTGGAAGTTTGTGCCGAAGTAACTGATGGTATTGTTGAAATGCTTAAACAAGCCCGCATAGAAGGTCTATTTAAATAAATTATAGTTAATAATATTATTTGTTAATTTTTCAATTATTGTAATAATAAATTGTTCTTTATTGATTTCATATGGAATGATTTTTTTAACATTTAACGATGGCATGTCATTTCTTAAATTCCTACTATTGCCACAAAATATACAAAGACCTCAAACATAGACAAATTAAGATATAGACAACGAAAAGTTAGTTTGGTCTTTTTTTCCAGGTGGCTCTCATCATGTTTTGCATAGTCAACATGCTCATTTACGCGTTCAAGCCACTCGACTTCGAAAACACATTTCATCGTTTTTCAAGAATTTCACTTGATTATTGCTGAATTTTTCGATGTCATCACATACTTTTCACATTTCTTTTATTATGATATAATTTTCAACTGACAAATATCCTACAGTTTTTGTTATTTTTAACGTTTTAGAATTGAGTGACTTCAATATTCCCACTCAAACCCCTGAAACGATATAGACGACATCTGCTGATCCGATTTTTTTCGAAGATAAACGGTGAGAGCATTTCGTTGTCTATATTTTCATTTGTCTATGCCTCAAATGGTAAAGACTGGACAAAATACATAATTGAAAAATAGTTAATGTGAAAAATATATAGGGGCGCTGCTTACAACAGTGATATGTTGGCATAAAAATCATATTTACAGAGCAATTTTAAGAATAACATTTTCTGTAAACCAAAAATTTGGACCATGGCCCAATTATAAGGTCTTCCTTCGAGCGAATTAATCGAAAAACAGCTGTTATTTTACCAGATGAAATGTCAAAATTCATGCTCGAGGCGAAAATAAAATTTTTCGCCTTGACAGAAGAATTTTGTGGCGAATATGCTTGTTGCCAAATTTTGACAACTGGACCATAGACAAATGAAAATATAGACAACGAAATGCTCTCACCGTTTATCTTCGAAAAAAATCGGATCAGCAGATGTCGTCTATATCGTTTCAGGGGTTTGAGTGGGAATATTGAAGTCACTCAATTCTAAAACGTTAAAAATAACAAAAACTGTAGGATATTTGTCAGTTGAAAATTATATCATAATAAAAGAAATGTGAAAAGTATGTGATGACATCGAAAAATTCAGCAATAATCAAGTGAAATTCTTGAAAAACGATGAAATGTGTTTTCGAAGTCGAGTGGCTTGAACGCGTAAATGAGCATGTTGACTATGCAAAACATGATGAGAGCCACCTGGAAAAAAAGACCAAACTAACTTTTCGTTGTCTATATCTTAATTTGTCTATGACTGGACTGGGAAATGTATGAATAATAGTGCTGCTGCCGCGAGAGTCAGTCTATCGAAAAACAAAACAAGTAATTCTCTTATTTTTTGACGTTCATTCTGGAAAAAATAACTATGCGAAAAGCATTAAATTTGGAATTTGGAAATGGAATGGAAAATGGAACGGTTTTAGACGCTATGGACCAAATCCGTTTCGGAACACGTGAAGTCGATCCAGGGATGTCCGTCGATCCGTCTGTCTGGCTGGTTAGTGCGCACGATAACTCTCGAGGGGGTATCCAATTTGATCCAAACTTGGTGCATCGTAATATTATCAAACATATATCTTGTTCGAAGTAGTGCCTCCCCCATAAAAGATCAATATTTTGAGTAGCCAAAACGCTCATAAAATGCGAAATAAGCTTCCGAATATTTTCAAACTGTGCATATACCAATATTTCTAGCAAAACAAGATCTGATGGCATCAAATACCTACCCCACAATGGGTCAACATTTGGAATAATAATAACTATTATATTCTAGGTACGTGTCCATTTCAGCTGCGAAAATGACGGGACTGTAAACATTTACAACAATCTTAAAATTATTATGAATTTATTGGAACTTATTTCATATTACTCAGTCTGTGTTTCCTGGTCTTTACAATTTTTGGTCGGATTTTCTTGGGAGACACTTTTTGTACATTCCTGTAATGACATATCCATATCGGAAGCCGTTTCCATAATATTAAAAATGTGTGCTCTATTTTCACAATATAAATAAAAATAAGCCAATATTGCGTTTAAGAAATTGAATAACATATTGTCATAATCCCTCACCTCAAATTCGGAGTATTACTTATGCCCTTCAGTGGTGGTCGGTATTCCGGGACAGCGATAGGCAATAATCTATATTTGCTGCCGGATTTTACCACATGCTCCATATTAAAATGGTTCGAACACACCTGTGATGTGGATGTAAACTTCACTTGACAAATTTCACTCCATTTTGCCCTCATTTTTTCGTCCTTGGGGGCGGAAAAAAAATGAACTTTTCCCTGGCACCTCTTTCTTTTTGCAAATCTTGCATATTCTCATTTCTATTTTTTAAAATAAAAAGAAATTAGTTTCTTTTTTATAAATTAAATTTACTTTATTGCAACGTTTATGTGGCTCACTGTATGTTTTTCTTTTTCTCCTTTTTCTCTTTACAACAAATTTAAAATGGCAAAACAAATCTTTTCGCATAACAGTAAAAATCATGTTTTGACATTTGTCTGACGTTTGTTTTGGATGCGGCGAATTCAAATTTAAGTGACAGATCGTTTGGTAATCAGGTGAGCTGGAAGGGGGACCTTATACTTGGATCATGATTTGGACTAAACATTGCATTCCTTGACGTTTTCAATTAATTGAAAATTGCATTTGCTGTTAAATGCCTTTAACATTGGTGAGTATGTTGTTATGATATCGTAACAACAGAGGTATTTACACCTGGTGACAATATTTTGACTCTGTCTTGTCCCATCTTAAATATACGCCAATATTTTCCTATTTTCTTTTAAATTTAAACAAATCTGTTAGCGCCATCTATGAGTAAGCCAATTAAAACTTAATGAAATGAAGTGTCATTCGTGAAACTTGGCAGCATTGCGAGTTTGTTATTGTGTTAGATTGTGAAACGTTTAGAAACGTTTCAGATTATTTCATACATACGAACAAGGAATTTATAACTTTAGCACAATTCTGAACAGTACCATATTTGCTCTCTTTGTATCTACTATTCCTAATCTCTAATTAATCTGCTTGACTTTAATTTCCACACTTTTATTACTCATGTGGTTAGCACGGTCATATTTGTAGACGGCGACAGATTTCGCATAATGGCATTGTACTTCACTCAACTGCTGTTTACAAAGTTCCTTTCATTGAACATACCTTTGAACTGCACAGCAGCTTTTCAACAAAACCACAAACCGCTTTTCGCATTTTCATACAATTTTCCTTGATAAACGTTGTAAAACCAAAGAAGTTCCACCATGTCGTATATGTTACCTCATTTACACAATGGATGGCAAGTGGACCAGGCCATTCTATCGGAGGAAGATCGTGTTGTGGTAAGTAAAATGATTGTTGTATTTGGCAAAAGCTAGATTTATCTCGACTTTTCTTTGCCGCCACCTCCTCTATTGCAGGTAATTCGCTTTGGTCACGATTGGGATCCCGCGTGCATGAAAATGGATGAGGTCCTCTACAGCATTGCCGAGAAAGTGAAAAATTTCGCTGTAATTTATTTGGTAGACATCACGGAAGTTCCCGATTTCAATAAAATGTACGAATTGTACGACCCCTGCACGGTAATGTTCTTCTTCCGCAACAAACACATAATGATTGATTTGGGCACCGGTAATAACAACAAAATCAATTGGCCACTAGAGGATAAACAGGAAATGATTGATATTGTGGAAACGGTCTATCGAGGAGCGAGAAAAGGTCGTGGTCTGGTCGTATCACCCAAAGATTATTCAACAAAATACAGATACTAGGTTATTTGGTGGATACGGAAATATTTCAATAAGACTAAATTATTGTAGGTAAAATTCGTATATTTTAAAAATAAAATAGTGTTTAGAATAATATACAAATCTTTAACTTACATGTCGTTACAAATGGATTATCTGTGGGATAAGAAAATTTACAATGATTTGTTTATATTGGACCTTTTAAATCATCTCAATTGACGGCTTTAGAGCGGTTTATATATGAAATCGGATAGAACTAACAAATGATAACTATATCTTAATCGATTTACACTAACTTACATGAACATTTTCGAATTGTACGTGACATCCCGTACCAAATATTATTACTTAAGATTGCATGTTATGACTTTGAATAGACTTAGATATAAAACTTAGTTAAACATATATATCATAGTTATAGGTTGTCTAACTGTCCTTTATTGGAGAAGGAAATGGGTTGTATGATCAATAATTCAGCCTTTTTGGACAAATATAGCGTTGTTGATCTATAACTTAAATGAGAACTACATCAAATTTGATAAAATATTTATATGGAAGTTATCGTTATATCTCTTCAATTTTTACATAACTGTTTCTAGGCAAAATCAATCCTATTTGATCCGATACTAGACATTTGGAGTACAATAAACATGAAATTGATATTCACCAATTTCAATAGTGTTCGACTTGTACCAAACAAGAGAAGAGACAATAAATGAGACTTGTACATCTTACATAGTTAACTATAGCATTTTCAGATTAAATGAAAACTTTTGCAATTCAAATGAAACTTTTTGCAGAGGAAATGAGACCTTTTGCAGTGGAATTGAAACCTTTTGCAGTGGAAATGAAACCTTTTGCTGTGGAAATGAAACCTTTTGCAGCGGAAATGAAACCTTTTGCAACCGAAATGAAACCACGTGAAACTTTTTTCAAATCAAATGAAACTTTTAAAATTATAGAAGGAAAAATAACAAAACATTTTTATTTTTAGTAGTTTTTAAATTAAATCAATTAATTATAACTAATATATTGACAAAGAGGATTTTTTATTGATTATAAATATCTACATTTATTTATATTATTCCTTAAATTTCCAATTATTGTAATAACAAATGTTTCTTTATTGATTTGATATAAAATGCTTCCATATTATTAAATTCCAAATGCTTAACGCTATAAAGAGAAATTTAAACAAATTTTGGCCTTTATAGGTATGGCCAGGACTGAAATGTGAAATTAAGCTGTTCATAAATTTACGCAATTTTGCCCAACACTGTTGGTTGGGTATTTACCGGCGGCTGCATAAAATACATCAAAACGGAATGATGTAAATGATTGAAACACTTACATATACACACATACATTCATGCAGCCACCGGTAAATTCCAATGCTGAATTCCAATAAATAAGCATCGTCAACAGCCAAAACTGGTTTGATGTGACGATGCAAATTGGACAATAATTAGTTCTGATTTAATTTTCGTCGCGAAAACAAGTTTCCCCCCGTGTGACAAGTGTCAGTGCAAAATAAAATAGAGAACCAAATCTAATTACATTGATATTAACATACAACAGTGAACATCTAACCAACAACAAGAAGTATCAACATTACAAAACGAGTTAAAATTGTTAAAATAAATTACAAAGACGTTCAACAACATACAACAAGAAGGTGAAAAACAAAATTGTATAAAAAAAAACACATACACCATACATATAAAACTTGTACATAAAAACTTAAAATCTAATGAATTAATACTAATTAACTAAAATTTAAAGTCTACAAAATAAAAACGCCATGAAATAAACCTAAAATAAATTATTCAAATTTTAAACCTAATTATCCTTAAATCTAAGTGCACCCCCATAAAAACACAAATAAAAACGAACCATTTGAAATAAATAAAAAAAACCATATAAATTTGTTATAATTTAGAAAGGGCAAAAAAGGTAAGCCTAAAAACATTTGGTCCTCCAGAGCCGGATCAAAAAGTGAAAGTTTTTTAAATAATTAAAAACAAAAAAGAACAATTTGTGAGTGGACGCATAAAAGAACAGTGAGAAAAAAGAACAGTGAAATAGAAAAAAATACAGTGGGGTTCAAAAATAAGTGCAAAGTTTAAAAAGAGTTGAAAAAAAAAAATAATTAACAAAAAATAGACTTTACACAGTGCAACAAAAAGTAAAGTTACACAGTGCTACAAGAAAATAAATAAATTTTTAAAATTTTAGAAAAATTAAATTTTTTCTTCAATTTTAAAAAAGAAAAATAAAAAAGTTTTTCAACAAATTAACAAAATTTTGAAGTGACATTAATTTTTTTATACAAGAAAAGTGACATTAATTTTTTTATACAACAAGAAGAGTGACATAAAAAAAAAAGTGACATTAAAGATTAATTTACCCAAAAAGACAATAGAAAGTGATAAAAAAGAGACAATATACAGTGACACAGAGAGCAACAACAAGGAAAATTGTGGAACCAGCAGCAAGGAGAGACGGACGGACACACGCAGCACAACAACACCAACAACAACCGAGACCCAAAACCCAAAATCAAAGTGAGTACTCGTTTAAATTTCTTTTTTGACACAAAAGGGCATTTCGGGAGCAGGCAAATCTTCAATATTTGCATTGACCCGCATATTCCCATAATTTGCAATAACACTTTGACCCATATTCAAAGCTGCTAGTTGCCCACTTAGACACTGTGACGGAAAATTTCCCAATTTGGAGCCATTTTTGTGGACGGACATTTGGCTATTGACCCGAAGGAAAAAAGCGGACAGACACATATTTTTTTCAAAAATAGCGGGAATTTTCAGCCATAAATAACTATATATATACTAAAAATCTTGGAATTTTCTGAACGTGGAGTTCAGGTAAATACATAAGCGCCATATTGACACAAATACATAAGCTTTGAACTTTGGAAAATTGGCGTCACCAAACTTGGCAAATATATAAACGCCATATTGCAAAAAGTATATACAATTTTTTGGAAACAAAGCGTCACTTGCAAAATATAGTCGCCATATTTTTTGGAAATATTTGGCGCCTATCGATAACATAAAGAAGTAAATAACAACCGTTTAAAAAAAAAAAATAGCGTCTGGTGGACAGACAAAAAATAACCTAAATTTTTTTTGAAAATTTTGGAAACCAAGCAAGCGTCTGGTGGACAGACACACATGTGATACAAAACCTACAAATTTTTTTTGAAATTTTTGAAAAAAAAAAAAAAAAAAATTATTGGCAAAAAAGCAAGCGTCTGGTGGACAGACATACATTTGAAACTTAAACTACAAATTTTTTTGAAATTTTGGAGAACAAATTTTATATCGGAGTCTGGTGGACAGACATAAAATCGATCCCATATATTTACAATTTTTATTTTTATTCTAATTTTAACCCTTTTTCCCATTTAGCACAATATCTATTGCTCTAAGGAGCTTAAAAATTTTTCTGTGACCCAAAATTAATTTCTTGCATTTTTCGCAGAAATATTTTGCTGGTAAACTTTTTTGATTTTGTGACACATTACACGACTTTTTGGGAAAAATTTCTTCCTTGGATTTTTTTTGCAATTTCTTAAATTTTTTGCAATTTCTTCAATTTTTCTGCAATTCTTGAAATTTATGCTGAAAATATTTGGATTTTGACCCAAATTATTTTCTTTTGAAATATTTTGCTGGGACATAAAATTTTCCGCTGAAATATTTGGACCTTGACCCAAATCAAATTTTTTGGAAATTTTTGCTCAAATTTTTGGATTTTTGACCCAAATTATTTGTTTGAAATATTTCTTCTGAAATATTTGGATTTATACATACATAATTTTCTCTAATTCTCGTTGCGAATTTTATCGAAAAAATTTGGCGAATTTAGAAAATTTGTTGAATCAGACAAATTTTCACAGCAATAATCAAAGTTATTGGCTTTTATAAAATAAAATCCTCCTGTCATAGGATATTAAGCGATTTTAAGTAAAAATTTTGAAACTTTTGTTCGACAACCCAACACACATTTTTACGTCGTTGAAAATATTTTTGGATTTTCTGGAATTTTTTTTGGAATTTTCAACTTCTCTTTGATTATCAAACTAGACTCTCGTTGTTTTTTGGAAAAAAAAATCGTTTATTGTAACAATACATCTCTGGTAATTTCTGTTTTTGCAATTCTTGTTTCCACAATTTTGTTACAAAAAAAAAAAAACTTTTGGATTATTTGTCGATTTGCAAAAATAAAATCCTCCTGTAAGTGGACTTTAAGAGATTTTATTTTCTTTTTCGGCTTCTTTTGGCAAAAAATTGACCCTTTGGCAACCCAACAAACAATTTTTAATCAAATCAAACCGGCGTCAAATACAAAGAAAATTGTTGAAATTTTTCAAATATTTTGAAACTTTTGGGAAGAAAACGAAATATAATTCGAACCAAACCAATAATTGAACATAGATTTCGTTGATCAAATTGAAGAAGATAGCTTATCCTTATTTTTTAAAAATAAAAATCTGGATAAAAGTTTGAATCTTATTCCAAGTCAATCCTTTTCATTGGGTTACCTTTCATTTTTGCAACACAACAAAATTTCGGTAAAGGTTAATACTCAGGCATCAAAATGGATAAGACCCTAAGCGAAAAATTCGCAAACTGCGTCAACGATCTTCAGGATTATATTTCAATTTTTTCAATAACCAAACCGGATGACACGGTTCATACTTTGGAGACAACACGTATGGAGTTGGATTCTGCATGGGACCAGGTCAAAAGGGCATATTTAGACTGCCGTGATTATGTTCCAGAGGAAGGAGGAAAAACCATCGACAAAAATAAACTGAGGAAACATTATATGGATACCATGGGATCATATAAACAGGCGCTGAGTTCAATAAATGGACAAATTCAAAATATTTTGGATGAAAAGGCACAGGAAAAAATGAAAAGAGAGTCAGAGATATCACAACAAGGAAGGGAAGTGGATTTTACTAATGTATCGCGGCTACCTCCATGCGATACCGACACATTTAAAGGTGGTTATAGAGAATGGCCAACTTTCAGAGATCTATTTTCGGCAATTTACATAAACAATTCAAAATTAAGCAATGTCGAAAAATTATT